GGCCCCCGCCGCGCTCCGGGCTCTTCCCTCCCTCTCCACCTTCCCAGCTCCACCCCTACCTGGCCCAGGTGATTTTAACCCTTGGAGGCAGAGCCGGAGCGCCGCGGCGCAGTTGACAGGAGTCTCGTCCCTGTCTCGGGTGCTTGAAAGCAGAGGGAGGGGACGGGAAGTTTGCAGCAGACACCACAAAACAGGGGGGTAATTAAAGAAGAAAGGAGCAACTGCCTCCCGCCTGCGCCTATGGCCACCCTCCTCCCGCCTGGCCGAGCCCCGGCGGCCCCAGCCAGCCCCCCAGAGCGGGCCGGCATCACACTGCCCCCCGGGCCCTGCTCTGCACCAGGGGCAGGTGCCGCACTCAGGGGGTCGGTGCTGCCGCGGATGCCCACGAAGACCCAGGGCTCTGGGGCAGCCCCAAACAGTCGGGAAGTCCCAGCTGGGCACCCACCCAGGGGCATCCGACCCCCCGGCATCCTTCCCGCTGCATCCCAGGAACTTTGCCCATGAGGCCAGCAGCATGAAAGTACTTGCATGGGAATGCCAAAGCCAAACGTCCTGCCTCACCATGGGGAAACGCGTCCCTGTTCCCACAGCCGCAATTCCCAGGCCAGCTCAGGCCTGGATTGCCCTGGACATCAGGGATCCTTGTGGCCTTGGAGGCCACATATCCCACTCCAAAGCTGGGATCTCCCTTCGAGGGCTGGGACACTCCGGGCAGCAGCAGGGCCCCATCCAGTAGTGCCGAGTGGAGCATTCCCACACATGGGAGCGCGGCCCCATGGATCCTTTGGGCTCGGGGGCAGAGCACCAGGGAGCAGCGCAGATGAACGGGGCAGGACAGACCCACGGATGAGGCGCCCGTGAGGGTCCGGGTCCCTTTACCCTGGGGGCCCGTGTGTGCAGGGCCTGGCCGGGCAGGGATCCCCAGAGCCGGATGGCTGCAGCTCTAGGACGCCTGGGCCCTTTCCGGAGCCGGGCGCCGTGACTCAGAGCTCCCTGCTGCCTCTGCAGCCGGTTTCCCCCGGGCGCGGGGAGCTCTCCGGGGCAGGGAGCCGTTCGGTTGCTTTGCATGT